CTTAAAGTGGCCAAGTTTGGACAACACTGCTCTAGCCTGTGGAGCCTCAAGTGAGGCTCAGCCTCCAATGCCTCACTCCTTGCAGGAAATCTTGCTTGCAGGCTCTTCCAGATGAAGTGCCACTCAGCTTAGGCTGCTTTCAAATGAAGGCTTAAGCTGCTCCCTATCTTTGTTTTCTGGGAATTATGAGTAGCAGCAGCAGCAGCTGGCAAGAACTGCAGAGCTGAGCGGTCCCCACAAGTCCCTAGAAATCTCTGCTTAAAGCTATCCAATGAGAGCACCATCACTCGCTAGCTCCCAGGGAAGAGCTCCTTTAAGTGCTTCTGATACTTTGAAGCTGCTTCCCTCTAAAAGTGGGTAACAGCTGTAGGGATGGACGATGTCCGCTCTGCAGGAAAAAGACCTGTTTCCTCCCCAACTGTTCTTTATTTTAAAGTTCACAACATCATTATATTTTTGTTAGCTAGTTAAATATGGCCATTTTAGTTGTGAAAACCATGTTTTCCTAAGTGCAGGTATTTGGTTGCATCATTGGAAAGGTCATTCAGAAAAATTATGGCGTAGCTAAATTATTCCAGTGTAAAGATGTATACCATAGACTACTACAGGTAGGCCGTGATTAGTGTGAGTTCAAAGAGTGCAATATTCGATTTAGTGCGAATTATAAATTGATACCAGGTTGCGTTTAATGCAAGTCAAAAATCAGTGTGAGGCTAGTGTGCACGCAGCTGAGGCTAGTGCATGCACAGTTATGGTTGGGGTTTTGTTGTATGTGTAAAATGGAGAAAAGAAGGTTCCATTCAAGGAAAGCCTGAAAAAGAAGAGACTCGTTTTGAAAAACTATAGCAGAATACAGGAGATAGCAAGTATGCTTTGGGTGTGGGTTTATCCTCCAGCTGGTCCTTTTTTCACTTGACTTATTTATTTATGAGATCTGTCTATCTAGATAGGTTGATGAGATTCTCTATCTTAGAAATTATCAACACTAATCGAGACCAACCTGTATAATGAGGTAAAATAAAAAAGTGAGAATTACAAAAAAAAGAAGAAGATAGGAAATACTGAGATAAATTCTACACTCATCCCCTTCCCTTTGGCAGAATAGGAGAAAAATACTAAAATAGTGGTAGTGAGGTCCTGTAATTCAAGGAAATGCTATAAGATAAAGGTACCAGTTAAGGCAATTCTCACCAACAGGTGAGAAACTAGATTCAACTTTTCAGTAAACCATAATACCATTTGATTTTAGCTTACCATGTTGCATTAACCCAGCCATAGCTGCTTGTAAACTGTAGGGTACAAATTTCATGCTGCAGGAACCCAGTCAACCATTAATGCAAAGTGTTTAAAAGGTGGGTTAATGCAATATATGAATCCAGCTACAAACCCTCCCCCCCCCAAAAAAACCAGATCTGTTAACAGCCTCTTTTCCCCTTATGTTTCTTACTTGGTCTCTTGTCCTGCACAGTTGCTTGATTTAAGGACACAGCCACCAAAAGAAGATGCCTGACCGTGACAACACCTATAATGGTAGTGGTAGCGATGAGGCAAGTGCCAACTCAGATGACATCTGTCGAGATTTCCTGCGCAATGTCTGCAAGCGAGGCAAACGTTGTCGTTTCCGCCATCCTGACATTAACGAGGTGACTAATTTGGGGGTTAGCAAGAACGAGTTCATCTTTTGCCATGACTTTCAGAACAAGGAGTGTGTCCGCATCAATTGCCGCTTCATCCATGGTACCAAGGAGGATGAAGACTGCTACAAAAAGACTGGGGAACTTCCCCCACGTCTCCGCCAGAAAGTGGCAGCCGGGCTTGGCCTGTCCCCAGCTGATCTCCCCAACAGCAAGGAGGAAGTTCCCATTTGTCGAGATTTTCTCAAGGGGGATTGCCAGCGTGGGGCCAAATGCAAATTCCAGCACCTGCAGCGGGATTATGAGTATGATGCCCGGGGCCTGGCTACCCGGGAACAGGGTATCACCACACCTGTGCGTCGATATGACCCCTATGACCCAATGTATGACTCTGACAGATGCTATGATGACCACGACCCTGTGCTCAAAAGGCGGCGGGTGGATGGGCTCCACTTTGAAACCTACGAATATAACTTCACTAGTCCACGTACGGTGGAATATCGTCTCCTGGAAGAAGAAAACATCATGCTCCGCAAACGAGTAGAGGACCTAAAGAAGCAGGTCAACAACCTCCTGGCCACCAACGAGGTCCTTTTGGAACAGAATGCCCAGTTCCGCAACCAAGCCAAAGTGATGACCCTCAGCTCCACGGCTACAGCTACTGAGCAGACTCTGGCCCCAACAGTGGGCACTGTTACCAACTATAATCACAGCATCGCCCAGACTCATACGACTCTGAGCAGCCAAGCCCTGCAGCCACGGCCTGTCTCCCAGCAGGATTTGGTTGCTCCTGCTGGAGCGCAGGCAGCTCCCCCAAGCAACGCAGCCCCTCCTATGAACCCTGAAATCACCCCGCTGTCAGCAGCTTTGGCTCAGACCATTGCCCAGGGGATGGCTCCCCCTGTATCCATGGCCCCAGTAGCTGTATCGGTAGCGCCAGTGGCTGTGTCGATGGCTCAGCCTCTGGGGGGCATTACCATGAGCCATGCCACGACTCCCATGGTGACCTACCCCATAGCCTCCCAGAGTATGAGGATAACAGCCATGCCTCACTAGCCCATGTTCAAAGGGAGTGTCATTGTTCAGTCTATGCCGTGCTGTCCCTAGGTCAAGGGTGGGCACAAATCCTGTTGAAAGATAAGGAAAAGAGAAGGATACCGATTCCAGATGTGGATCTTAAAGCCCCTGGAATGCTCATGGGAAAGGACTATAACTTGGGTTGGCGTTTTGTCTGAAGCAGGTGTGCGAGCTCTCCTTTCACAGGTCAGCAGAGCCCAGACATAACAGAACAACCACCACCACCACCACAGAAGCATTTGAAAAGTATGGAGATCTCAAAGCTTTTTCTCTGTATCTTATTTCGGTTTTGCACTGTTGGAGGAGTTACTAAGCACTCCTCCAACAGTGCTTTTGTGTGTAATAACTGAGCATGTTTTCCAGCCTGTGGATTACAGAGTCTGTTGTGTGGCTGAGCAGAGGGAAAATACGGTTCGCTCCCTGGTACATGTTCACGGAGCGGAGGACAACTTTCCTTAACTCAGTCCGATGAAAGGGCAGAGACTTAAACCAATAGCAGCTCCGCAGACTAAGCCAGCCTGAACTTTTGGACTCTTTTTCTTGGTGTAGAAAGGCAGGGATCCAGGCATCTGGAAAATACTAACTTAAGTTATGTTGGTTTAATAGATGATAAACTGGAAAGAGTTGTAGGAATAGAATGTCCCTTCCTTTGGCCTAGGTTAGCTTTTAGTTCTGGAAAGAACAGGTTGAATGCACATATACAGCGTGCATAACTTGATAGTTTGTAGGGTGAAGGTGATTGCGTGTATGTGTATCTGTGTGTGTATCCACACACCGCATGAATACACACACGTGTAGATGGCATCTCTTTATATTAATGTTGAGGGTTTCAAGGAGTCCAGGGTTTAGTGACAGGATCTCTTGCCACGGAGCAGCTGAATTTCTGATTGAAACTGACAGGGATGGGCACTCTTACAAACCCAGAACAGCTCACTTGTTTCTTCCCACTTGCCTGGTCTTTCCACTTTTTTGCTTTCTGGCTGGATTTTGTGTCTGAATTCTCCTCACATCCAAGGACTTTGCAGTAGGAACCTACCTGTGGTATGTTACTTCACTTTTTATTTTACAGTGCAGCACTTTTTTAAAAAATACGGATATCTTCCCTCAGTGTGTGTTTTTGATTTTATTTTCGGAGGGGTGGGTGGGTATTCTTCCTTTTTTTAATGTGAACTTCAGCTCCTACTTGGGTCTGAAGTAACCGTTTCTATTAGAATGATTTAAAGAAAATGAGAAAAATGTTTGATGACACAGCTGTTTCTACAGTTAACAGTGTAAATGTTTTCAGCTATTAAAACAAACGTACAGTCCTCACATATATTCAGCACTGTTATGTTTTTGTAGATTCGAAAAAGACCCTCTTCTTCTGCCTTCCCCCAGCACTTCAGAGATTTCTGTACACGCAGTACAGAATTTCTGGTGGGAAATTGTTCAGGTCTTGAAGTGCACTCTGCTGTGGAGCAGAAGGCAAGTACTCATCAGCTTCCTAAAATACTGACAGCATTGCCAGGAAGAGTGAGACTGTAAAGGAAGTAAGGGAGAAAGGAGACTTTAAATTTCAAGAAAAATCTGGGCGGCTCATAGGTGTCATTCTGCTCAGGAAGCATTGAGATGGATCACAGGTTAAGAGGAGGTCTGCCCAGTTTTTTGAGCAGGGGGGTGCTGGTGTTGCCTCTGTGCAGAGCTCCTTAGAGTAGCTGCATCTTTTCCCAGAGTCAACTGCAGTGCACTTCTGGCAAGAGGCAGGTTAGGTTGAAGGAGTTGCAGACAGGAGTTATGGGTGCCCCCCCCCCACTTCAACACTGCATTGTCCTGTGGATCTGTCAGTGGAATCAGGCTACTATCGTTTTTATCTCAGTGCTGGACCAAGGAAGTAAATCCTCTTACATACTAATGAGCAGTGTAGTCTTATCAAGTTCACTTTGAAGTACTTACTGTTTACAGGGGCTCACCCCCTAGCAAGAGTGTTTGGGTGCCATTAAAAGACACGGGATCAGCACATCTCTGAACTCTTCAAAACCAAAATGAAGAAGGCAATGGAATCTTGGTGCGTATCAGTTTATGTGCACACCCACCGGATGTCTCCTTGCTGCTACCTGCGTAGGAGTGTGACAATAGTTAACTGGTTTTCACTGTTTGATAGCCCTTGATATAATGGGAGAATAAAAATGGAAGTCCAATGGGACCCCCTCCCCAAATGGAAGCAAATGAAATAGAAACGGAGGCCCTTCCGAGGCCACAGATGTGGCAGGGAGAGGGAATGTGAGTGATTGTCAGGGAGGAAACACACCCTTGCCCAGTTTGAGAACCAAGTGATGATTTGCATTCACCTTATTTTAGTTGATATGTTTTTGTGGGGCCGAAAAAAAGAAATAGAATTACTATTTTCTTTCACTGCCATTTTTATCAAGGATTCTAGTGGTGTTCATTGTATTCACCAGTTGCAGTCTTTGTTGTCATTTTCTGTTGCAAAAATATCAATTCTAAATACTAGGAAGTAGCATACAACCAGATTTGTCTTTACGTGGGACTCATCACATATGCATAGCCACAAGTCTTTTGATGGGGTTCACACCCTCTCCTGGGAATGGAACCCATAGGCCAGTGCACTTTCGATAATTCTGTTGTTTGCAGGAAGGGATTGTACAGACTCAATCCGAATGGTATACACAGTCCACCCTTCAGAGCAGAGAGATCCAGATGTTACATACATCCTGCCCTCATTTACAAGTTTTTACATGACATCCACCATTGCCCTCTGAGAAGTGGGGGGAGGAGTTCTAAGAGGGAGGGTGGAAGTCATGCCTCCCAAGGCCGTAGGGCCTGTGAAGATCTTGGGAAGCTGAACAGATTATCAGCTGTTCCACAGGAAATACCATGAAGATCACTTTGCAGATTTCCCCCCAAAAAACAAATGCAGCAAGGAAATGACTGAGAAGGGAGGAGGAAAGAACAGAAACTGGAGTGTTGACTCTTGCCTCCAACGTGGGCCAGCTGAGGGGCCTTTCTGCCCTTCCCCTTCTTTTTCCTTTTCCCCAGCCCCGGGGGGCAGGAGTCGGGATGCTCACATCAGAGCGGGTGGGAGGTGCAGCCAGAAGCTGTCCGGCAGTCCCCTTTTTAACTTTATAGTTTCAGTTGGGAGCCACACAAGTGAGTTGAGGCGTGTTCACGTGCCAAGCAAAAGGAAAGTGTTAATAAGAATGCACAGGCCCAACTCCCAGGAACGTCTGGCTTGTCATCCAGAGTCTGAGACTTAGGGGTTGCCTCTTTCAAGACTCTCATTCTGGATTTGCTGAAAACAAAATGTGTATCTTCCTGCAAGTTTTGTTTCTCTCATGCCTTTAAGGATTTTATGTCTTCCCGTTGTTTGTATGGCTCAAGCAGAACCCACTTCACCTGCTAACTTGTGGTGCAGATTTAGTGATGGTCTCTGTGTCCTAGGAATGGAAACCCAGCACACACACTGGGAGCTTCTACCCTGGTCTTCTGGCCCTGATGAGAAAAAGGCAAAATAATTCCCTAACAGTAATGTTGCATTACCTGCAAATTATTTTTACTAAAGGCATACATCGGGAGGGGAAAGGGAATAAGGTTGCATTAAAATGGTGAATAGTGATCCAGTGTGAAACAGCAGCATATCTTGCACAGTATCTGTAACTCAAGTATATATTCAATTTCCATTCCAATTTCTAAATTAGTAAGTCATATATTACAAGGACATAATCCTTTCAGAAAAATGCACCCTGAATCTGCTTTTGCAACCCAATTTATCGGAACTGAGGTTAAAACAGGAACATTTCCTTCACATCAAGCTTCATCCCTGGTCACATCCATGACCTGGTCTGTTAAAAAGGTGGTCTGTCCCCTTCTGGATTTTTCTGTGCTCTGTGCATATCTTTGCCACTGAATGTCAACAGAGTTTCCCATAAGTCCACCAATACCTAAAGAGAAACTAAGCAAACAAAAATGCTTGGTGTCTGTTTCATTTGTTTCATAAATAAAGTCATCCGAACTGTGTGATGTGTCAGTGTGAAAAAGCAATTGCCAGTTCAGTCAATTCAATTAAAAGGATAACCAGGGCCAGAACAGAGTATCTTTATTATTATCCACTGACTGACCAGAATAGTATACAGTGTGGTGACAGGGTTTACAGAGCTCAAATGGAGGGAGAGGGATACAGGTATAGATATGGATATGGATAAAAGGAATGTGCTAGAGTGCCAAAAAGGTTAAATACTCAAGATTAAATTATCAGTCCTTTGCTAGGAAAAAAAAATACATAGGTATAAAGTAGAATAATATCATAACATAACATTAAATTTTAGATGCATTGCCAAATTACATAATTTGTTTCTAGTCATATAGTATAATTTAGCAAGCTACTGAGCAAAGAAGGGATCTCTTCCCAAGTATTTATAACCATATTGATAGCTTTTTCGGGGGGCGGAGAGGGTGTAAGTGAATGATGAAAAAAGGTATTGGTGTTATCTCCTTGAGTCTTTTGATCACATCTTTTAAAGAGATCTCTAACAAACTTTATAAATTGTTCTGCTGAAATTTATGGTGAACCAGCTTTTCCTGCAGAAGTTCCAGACAATTTCACTTCGAGGACAATGTCAAGATTACCTGTACAATCAGGTAGTGTTTTACTTGAGTAGACTTAAGAGGTAGTTTTTTTCAACTCAGTTAAAAGAAGGCATGTCTGTTCATTTCAATCATGAATTAAGTCACATCTTATTATCTTGTCATCATATGCCCTAAGTCCCAATAAAACCTCACAGTGGGATAAGGATTAATTAATTAATTAATTAAATTAAAATAACTAATTAATTAATAATTAATTACGTACCTACAACCTGTGTAAGGTAAAGACTTCATCTAGCTAAATTAACAGAATTGACATTTTTTCCTTGGTAAAAAGTTTAATCTGAGACCTGTATTTCTTCCTTGCTCGGAAGATTCAATCTGAAATAATCACGCTGATTGGTGCACAGCATTTCCAAGGGAGCATGTTTTCTTCCAAAATGGGGAGTACCACAGCCCATTTGTGCAAGCTTGAAGAAGAAGGTAGCATGCTTTGAGATATAGGATCTCTGTCGCTTAGCTTCATGCTGACAATACCTCTCTTTTCAAGTGTATTAAAGCTGCAGAAGACCTAGGACAGGTGGCCCATTTCTCATAGTTTTCACTGGACTTGGCTGCACATATTATAAAATCCATGCTCTTCATTTCAGTGTAACATTGACAGAAAGTTTCTGCAATTGGTTTCTCCACAGGTGACAATGGCAGGAAAAGCACCAAAAAGATCTCCTTGGGAAGGCTCATTCATACTGCTTTGTTCATTTACTTTAGTTTGGTTCTAATCTAAATGTTTTCATCACAAGACTCTGCATTCCCTTCAAGGGAATGATTATGTCCACTGCAAATTACCCAGTTTTTCTGATTAAACAGATGAAGTTGTTTCTGAAATTCAAATGGGCTCATCTTGTTGGAATAATTCTCTGTGAAGTATGAACTGGTGACATAAGTTCTTTATGCGTGGAGTACAAATGTTGCACACTGGAATTTTTATCAAAATCAGATATAAAGAACACAGTCATGTGTGTCAAAAAGTTGACAAACCTGAGATCTTCCTTTCCTCATTTGTTTATAACAAATATCTACCAGAGGAAGTCATCAAAGTACTTTAGACTATTTGTTAATTTGATAATTTTCTCCCTAAAATTTGAAAGTAGTGAGGAAATGTTGATTGTTTGGCCAATTGGCCAATTCAGCCTTTTTTCCCCTAAGTATCTGTTTTAATTTCTGAATGAACATCATTAGATCTTAATTTTTTATTGGATCAGACAACGTTATCCCTTGCAAGATTTACCTTATTACTTTCTTCACTGAAGTTAGGCAGATGTATTTGACTTTTTTTTCTTCTGAAATGCTGAACAATGGTTCCGTATCGCCACCTACTGCAAAATATTGGTAATTAATATGTGGCATCAGGTGCAGACACATGAACTCTGTTGGGTTTCAGAAGGCACTTGGGTTATTCCTGAGGCTCTGATACATGGTTCAGTTGAGGCCCACATTACTGCCTGGAATGAAGGGGTGGCCATGACTTTACATCTGTGTGGCCACTCTCTGTCCATAGATCCTGTAGATCTTCCTGGCTTTATGAGAAACTCCAGAAAATTAAATGACAGAAAAGATGCCTGGAGAAAAGAGTGTCAGTGGAGGAAAATGAGGAGTGAACTGACTGAACATGGTGAGATCCTTTCTTAAGGACTACCTTGTGGCTATAAGAGTTGCAAAACATAACTATTGTGCTGTTATCACATCTGCAGATAGCTATCCAATGGCCTTATTCAGAATAACCTGATCCCTCCTAGGGAAGGAGGGAGCAGAGGAACATCTACAAAGCTGTGTTGGAGACTATTCTAGGTATCCTTGGATAAAATTGTTCATATGTAATGTTAGACTCTGTGCAGATCCCTCGGATATGACTGGGGCAAGTCTGATGTGGCTATCTGTGCTGAGTTGGAACCTGTTATTCCCAAGGAAGTGAACAGAACCCTCAGTGCTGTAAGGGTGGTGCCATCTATATTTAGATCCATGCCCCTCCAGGTTGGCGAAGCCCTCCCAGGAGATGTCACATGGTTGGAGCCAAGCTGAAGCAGGGAATGGATCCAATGCTCCTGGACACATTTCATCCAGTCTCCAATCTTCCTTTTTTGGCTGTTGAGAAAGCAGTCAGTTTGCGGCTACAGTCACTCATGCCCTTGACATGTCCCATCTAGACTATTGCAATGTGCTCTACATGGGGCTGCCTTTGAAAACCAGTTGGAAGCTGCACTTGATCATATATTTAGATCTGAGCCACTTTCTCTCTATGATGAGAAGCTTGTCTTGCTAGATTTGAGCTTTTCTTCGTTGGATTGGTTTTGCTGTCTAGTACAGCTGTAGCTGCTGAAGCACAAGCTCTGCTTGGAGTTGTAGAAACACAAGACGATGAGGCAGTGAATGGTTTCATATGGAGACCAGCAGTCCACATGTTCAAATCCCTGCTTATCATAGGGTGACCTTTGGTTAGCTATTGTTCTTTCAACCTAACCTATCTCACAGGTATTTTTTTACAGAATTAAATGTGGTTGAGATGGTTGGTGACAAAAGCCTATAGATTGTCTGGAGCCACTTGCAAAACTAGAAGAACTAAAAAGCACCACATGGGTAAAAATGGGCCTGAAGAACTACTTACCCATATTTTCTTTGCAGCTCTTAAGGGAGTCGAGTTTTCTTTCTTTTTTTTAAATTTGATATTTTATTGTTAAAAGAATGAAATGCAAAAGAGAATAAGATAAAATAATTTCTAAATATGAATGTAAAGCATTGTGAGAAGACTTGCTAGTGCCACATCCTTCCCTTTCCTTCTGTTTGTGTCTCCAACCATTAACTGCAATTTAGATATCTGTACCTTACATTAAACATTAGTTTTCTGTATCTGGGTTCATAACCTCTCCACATTTATCCAGAAACAAGGCTATGAATTAGTTTGTCAGAGGAGAGGAATATAAGCAATTGATGACGAGCAAAGAACAAAAATCACAGGCCACCAATCACCCCTTCATTAATATCTATCCACAACTGTTTTCTGTTGCATCTATATATTGCTTCAAGAATGTAAAAAGCAAGGCTATGGCATTTGAGCTAAATTATCAGTTGCTAGCCAGTGAAATAGAAAGAGTACATTATAATGTTATGTAAAGATTTATTTCAGGAGAGGATGCAGAACAGGATTATCAGAAGTAGTGATATGTGGGCTCGGAAAAAGCTATGGACTAAGCTCTAAAAGATGCTGCAGTATCGCTAAATGCAGCATTCAAAGAGGAGATTGGTATGATTTTGAGGAAGGAACATGCCATTGGTACAGATTAATTACAAAAATATTCCAATGAAGGCATATATGGGAGCTATAGTGAGCAGTAGTTTTCCTTCTTCCTCCAGAACTGTGGTCCAGCCCTAGATCTCTGGTTTGTGGGGTGCCACCAGGCTCTACCTGCTCCCTGCTCCTTTTGAGCATCTACATGAAGCCACTGGGGGAAGTCATCCCTTAACACGGGGTGCTGTATCTTCAGCATGCGCGATGATCATTGTGTATCTCCAACCCTGGCTGACCCAGTGAGTCTGTCAAGGATCTGTCCCAGCATCTAGAGCAGCGTTTCTCAACCTTGGCCGCTTGATGATGTGTGGACTTCAACTCTCAGAATTCATGCTGGCTGGGGAATTCTGGGAGTTGAAGTCCACACATCATCAAGCGGCCAAGGTTGAGAAACATTGATCTGGAGGCTTTGGGGATCGGGATGGAGAACAGGCTTTGACTCAAGTCTACTAAGATTGAGTGGCAGTGGATGCTGGGGAGTCCAAGTCTGGCAATTGAAGAGTTTCCATCTTTGGTTTTGGATGGAGTTGCACTATCCTGATAAGACCTGGTGCGTAATTTGGGAGTCTTCCTGGGAATAAGGGGAAAGCACATGACCTTAGTATATACTGGCTCAGTTGGGAATAATGATTTAAAAAGCATTATTATATATCAAGTATCCAAATGAATGCAGTCTTTCATGTAACAGATTTGAAGATATGAACCAGACTTTCCAGAAGCTATACATATCAGACAATCCTTATTTTATGGAAATCTAACAGATGATTTAAAAGCTCTTTTGAATATTTTAAAAAATATTATTATTGAACTTGATTCTTTAATATAGTTTTGATTGAGTCAAATAAAGGTCTTACCCATTTGCAATTTTGGAATTTTTTTTGCAAGATGGAGCAACAGTGTTCCTTCTACCAAGTAAACTTTTGTGTGAAAATTTTTGTATAAATCTCTTCACCGTGGTCTGAAAAGAATAAATTATAATGGGATTAAAATTTTGCAATACGATTATGTGTAGAAATATTGTTGTATAGACACATAGATCCTTCTTCTCCTCTTAGTGTAACTTTCCATAGTAGGTGACCATTGTATATAGTCCATATGGATCAGAAAAGCAACATGATTATTGATTTATCCTCTAGCCATTTGTTTCAACCTTGATGCTTGAATTTATGACAAATTCTGGTCAGGACCTTGGTTTGCAAAGGCTGTGTAGGTAAGAAGAATGCTTTTCATTCTTAGTAGTAATGGAAGTGCTGCAGAAGGGTATAAAAAAGAAAGGATTCAGTCTAAATTCAGGTGAAAAAGGGGTTGTGCACAGAAAGTTGAAATAAAGGACAATATACAACTGTTTCAAAATCTACTTTTATTCTTGATTCGTGTGAAGTTCTTATTCAGAAGAAATATAAAAGAACTGTACAAATAGAACTACAAAAATATGAAATATGATTTGAATTAAATTAGGTTAAGACTATCATTATTTTCAAGCTTTGAAATCCTGTAATCTCTCTCTTTGGATATCTTACCTTAATATTCGTTGTCTATCATAAAACTAGGAAAACAAATCTCCCTGTAATAGAAGGCCCCAGATGAACAGGACAAAAGACAAAGCAGAAACCAAGTCCCCATGTTAATGCCCAATCACACAATTAGCCATTAATAGTTAACTTATTTAAGACACACAAAGAACACAGGAACACAGATTAAAAACCTCCTTATTTTAAAACATTTTTATCTGGATTGAATGAAAGTTAACAAGTCAATGGAAAAGATGCTTTCTATGTTTTTCCCTCTCCATGTTTATTTTTTTAAAACAATTACTACCCCAAAGAGGGCTTTGTTTTATTAGAAAAAGGAGCAATTTGGCATGCTTTCACCTGTACCATTTTCAATGCGGTACTAACTTGTGGTAAAAATTAAATAAATATAAATACACAAAATAAATATTTTGTAAAAGAACATCACAAATAGGTCAACTTTGGAGCACGCTGTTGGGGATTCTTATTTGTTCTGCACATACAAAACTACACAACCTAGTTTTAAAGAGACACTGGAAAGGAAAACCACATCCTTCCGAATGGGAAGCAAATCCATTCATTTAGCTTCCCATGAGAGCCTGTGTGTAAAGAAAACTGGGTTTGAAGGACCTAACAGGACCCCAGTAACCATGTGCCTGGTTTCACTGTATTTTTTAAAGGGTAATTTATATCCAGGTCTATTTTCTCCTACTAACTGTTCATTTGGTTGAACATCTTACAGTGCAATCCTATACTTGTCTACTCAGAAACAAGCCCCACTGAATTCAGTAGCAATCCCAGAGAAGGGCATAGAGCAGTGTTTTTCAACCTTGACAACTTTAAGATGCGTGGACTTCAACTCCCAGAATTCCCTAGCCAG